AAAAATGTTTTTTTCTAATAGATGGATGTTCAAATTGCTGGATTCGGAAAGCAGAAATTACTGGAACAGGTGGTGGTTTTAAGTTCCTCTTCCCAAGAAAATCGACGATGGCAAAGAAATAAATCAAAAGGCTTTTCCAGCCACGAGCAGATTAAAATCCCCTATAAAACGGCTCAAAGATACTTTTAAAAGGTAAGGTACAACTCAAACAGTCCTTGATAATACGTTGCTAGTCAGTGGATTATCCAACAAAGGTAAAAGAAACAGAACAATTATCAACAGAAGGTTAGCACTGACTAAAAACACCTGCTTTGACGTGAACGGGAAAAACGATGAGGAGAAGGCCGTACATCGAATCAGAATGCAGACGCTTCGGCGTCGAGAAATTGACGTTAGGTCTTGGCACTTTGATATTTCTGATTTAAAAACATATGACCAAAATACAATTACTTAGAAATTACATCAGTACAATGTCCAATACACCATTCAAACACAACTGGATACTAAAAACCTTATGCCGGTGATTTTGCATACACAATATTACGTAAAGGATGTCGATTATGCATTCAATAATTATCAGAAAATACAACATCAGAATTTAAAGAAAGCTACATGGGCTTCAACCTGACAACGAGTGCGTGTTGCGCCGAGATTCAACTGCTCGCGCGGGCCTCATTGCACGATGCTCAAGCTGGATCGGTGAGGCAGATTGCGAGAATATGAGAAGGAGCGATTTTATAATAGATAAATTGTCATCTAAATTTATTATCATTTAAAAATAAAAAATGAATAAATTTTCGACAAAAGATATGGCAGGCTAAATAGTGTGTGTGCGTCTATAATGACAAATATAGCCGATCATAATAAGTATTTTAGATGAGCAATCCACACTTCGGTTAATAAACTTTCTAAGAATTTATACAAGACAGGGCAAGCACGTTACCGCCAATGACGACTAGGAGAATGTTACCGGGCCAAATAGGCCAACAGTTCAGGAAACGACCCATTACGAAGGCGAGACGTCGGCGAGTATGTTAACGGGTAGTATTTTGCGGTGCTTTGCTCTATGTAAGGCATGAAGATGAGATAAATAAGTTCTACAGGGTGGTGGGTGAGCCATCCTATCTTTCAGCTTTCATTAGGGCTACCCTCTCTCTCTCTCGGAGTGCCTAGTGACCTATGGACGAAGCAAATATAAATTGAGAACAGAGCGACCGTATAATATTAACAGAGATATTGTTAATGAGAGAATACAGCGGGACGCCGTAGAGTGGGCAAGCCAGCTAATGCTCTAGGTATAGCAAAATAAATGCCGTCAGCAATAAGTCGGACTCTATATATCCCAATAGTCCCGGACCTTAAAAGAATATCCAATTGTAAGCAAAATTGGTATATATTTTTTGGTAAACCTAGTGTAAAGCATAAATTTGGACTGCTTAAACAATGAGTTTTTCGCATTATATGAAAAAGTCGCTGCCCATTTGTTTAAAGTGGTTCAATGTCTATTTAGAAACGACGGAATCCCCCGGCACTTTTAGGAACTTGCCTGTTTTTAGACTCTTGTTCTGTTTTCCACTAATGTTTACCCACGGCGGTGCTCGTATAATATAGTTTCTTAAAGCCTACCCTGCCCTTACGGCTTTTACCTCAGGTATAACTCACTGGGTTCCACCTACATGCCTAAGAAGGAAGTGGGATGCAGGAGGAGGGCAGGAAAAACGACGTGGTGGGTGCGTTGGCCGTCCGGACGCACTATTCCGCGTTCGGCTGACAAATATTAGTGTAAAATAAATACCCAATGCTCTCCATTTTTAACGCAACGTAACCAGCACGCGTAGTATGTTGGCGACTTTTGGCAGAAACGCCTAAAAAGGCGAAAGGTACTGTTGATATGTTATTGAGAGGGGCGTGATAACTATTCTGACCTTGAGTTCTAAGAATATTTGCTCATGTATTTAAATCTCACCCTGATCGAGTAATATTGCCGCCGTTTGAAATACTTCTACCTGCGGTGAGTGGGCTTGGACAGCCATGACGTTGTTTTATGTCTGCACCGTTTTGGGTTGGTGCATACGAACTACTTCTGCACATTTCTCTCATGGTGGCCTCTGGCTTGTATGGCTAAAGACGAGGTTTTCCTTATCACACTGTCACCGCTGGGCATACTTAAAATCGGCATCGTAACTACTTTGAACGCAAATGATCTTGGCGAAAACCTTCAGTCTTCGCTACATTTCT